ACGGGGTTTCACCATGTTGGCCAGGCTGGTTTCGCACTCCTGACCTAAAGTGATCCGTCTGCGTCGGCCTTCCAAAGTGCTGGGATTACAGGCAGGAGCCACAGCGCCTGGTGTGGAATCTTCATTTTGAAATGTGTTCACTGGGCCATTTTTATTAATTTACCAAGACTCTTAAGACGAAGGCACCATTCCTCATCCTATGCAGGCCAAGACCCTCCTGGCAAGGTGGCATAGCTGGGGAGGGTGATGGAACGGCCCCATTTGTTTCAAGGGTCTGACTTTCCCTGGGAATCCATATCTTCCCAGTCCCACTGTGGTCTCATCCCTGTCCCTAGCTTCTTGCTCTGGAGCCTCTCTTGCCCCATTGGCCTGGCTTTCATTTTGCTGCCTTGGGAACCCAAATTTGTGCTTTTAGAATTGCCGCTTTGCCCTTAAGATCTGACAATTTGGGGGGGCTTGATTCCCCTGTTGCTAATGTCGAAGGTTGTACGAGGTCCATGGGAAGGAAGAAGGTGCCTCAGACAGACCCCAAAGCTGTTGATCTCAGCTTCTCTGCCAGCAGCATATCTGAAACTGGCTCAGTAAAATCCCTAGGCGGCTGCTGCTGCTGTGGGGAAGCTGGTGGCTGGATGGGTTGGTGAGGGGTGAGAGTGTCTCCGAGAAGTCCCTGGCTACTTGAGTCTCAAATTTCGGATTTCATCCTAACTGCAGGGCCCTGGCACCTCCCTTCCCCACCCCATGCCTCCCTGTGGAGCCCTGGCCAGCAACTTTCCATTGCAGGAAACATCTGCTGTGGAGGCCAGGCTCAGCTGGGGGTTACTGGAGGACATTGGCCAGGACCATCACCCAGATCCTGTAACTTGAAGCATGTGTAGGGCCCTGCCCTGCCCGCCTACCCGCCCTGCCTCACTCCTTCCCTTCCCCTCTGCCACGGGTGACTTTAACAAAGAAGCCATTTGCTGGTTAGGCAAGCAGAGCAGGGGCTGAGGAAAGGGGTGTGTGTAGGGGTGGGGGTGAGAGCAGGCCCTGTTGCTGCAGCCAGTGGTGGCCGCTCCGCCTGGGTGAGGGCTATGAGTCATAGCCCAGTGCCCGCCCAGGCTAGAGGTTGATTAAACGTGCCACTCTATGAGACAGATCAGGACTGGGGAGCTGGGCATTCAGTTCCTTTGCTGGAGTTTCAGACCAACTGTGAGTCACTCTGCTGCATATGAGTGACTGGCAGGGCTAGACCCTGGACGCGGCTGTGGACCATCCCTGTCCTGTGGAGTTTGCTTGTCCACCCAGGGGCCTGCCTTCCAGATTGCCAGCCAGCCCTGGGCACCTGCTGTACTGTCTGCATCCTCTGGACTCTTGGGGTGACTGTCTGCACTGACCAGAGGGAGGTGTGTGACCACACCCCCTCTGGGCTACTCTCAGCCCACGGACCAGCCAAGAAGGACAAAGCAGAGCCCGCCATGGGAGACTGGCCAGCTAGCTTGTGCTGAGAATCGCACTGACCACTGCCTCTCACTTGTGAAGCTTCACGCCAGGAACGCAGCTCTAGGAGCAGAAAGGATACCTGTCAGGGTCGCACAGGCCCTCTGCCAAGAAACCAGAGGCCACCATCTGCAGTCAGGCCAGGCGAGACCAGTTGTTTTCATGATGTGGGGACAGTCGGTTGTCAGTGCTCAGGGAGCCGGGCGTTGTTGGGAGGGGCAGCTGTGCGGGGCAATGGAACCGCTGACGGAGGAGCCGGAGTTCTGCAGCCACCTGCTGGAGCAGCAGAGCCAGGCGGTGCAGTGGTACCTGCAGCAGCAGCTCCACCACGCACTTGCTGCCGCCAAACACTGTTGCTGGCACGAATCTGAGGAAATCCCAGCCGTGAGTGTGTGACCCAGTTTCTCTGAGTCTCTGTGGCAGTTCTGCATCCTCGTCATGCCAACTTGACTCTGCTACCCAAAGGCCCCAGATTTGACAATCTTGGAACCAAAATTATTTGACCATTTTAAATTGAAATAAGTTATCCAGGCCCTGCCTTTGGGGGTACAGGAGGGAGAGGGCTGGGGTCTCTGGCTTCAAGAGGCTGCATGGTGGCAGGGCCAGCATGCCCACCTAATGTGCTTGCCATCCACACAGCAGCCTCATGGAATAGGCATGTGTTGATAAGCCTGGATAAAGGAGTCTCCAGACTGGCCACTTAGCAGGCCAGGCCTGGATGCACCCTCCCCTCTCCCTGTTGCTGCCACAGCTTTGTTTTAAGGAGAGGAGCAGCCCCTCGATTTGCCTGCAGGTTGGAGATTGTGGCCAAACACCCTGTACCTCCACCTCCGTGGATACCTGGGCTGTCACTGGTCATGCAAGAAGCAAGGGGGAGAAGGCACTAGGACAGAAAATTAGAAATAGGAAGACTTGGGGCTTCAGGGGCTTGGAGGTCCGACATCCAACCCCCTGAAGGTGGGTTTCACCCAAAGTGTGTTTGGGGTCTCCTGGTCAGCTGCTCCTCGGGTTGACATTGGAACTTTGTAAATACAAAGACCCAGTAGAGGGCTTGGAAGGCTAGTGGGGGCCCCTAAGCAGGTAAACATCTTGTCCCCAAGGGAGTGTGCTCTTGTGGGGAAGCCCTTCTGCTTCCTCTTGGCTGGAGGACCCTCCGGAGGCAGCACGGAGTAGGGTTTCAGACAGCACTGAGTCGGCCTGCCTTGCTCGTATTCCACTCCCAAGTTGCTTAACTTCTCTGTTTCTCCATTTCCTCAAGTGCAAAATGGGATAATAGAAATAATCCAGGATCACATGCAATGACACATGCGCATGGCTTATGGCTGTGCTTGGTACGTGGTAATAACTCATTTCACGTTAGCCACAGAGCAGCTCTAGAGGTCAGTTAGGCATAATGAGGAGCTCACTGGCGATTGGGTAGTCAAGCTGGGGTCTTCAGTGTGTGGACTCTGTTCTAAGAGGCAAGGGTGACATCTAGATTGTAAATCTCAGTACCAGTTTGAAACTAACAGGGGTCAGGGGAATGTTGTTTTCTAAGACTTTTTTTTTTTGTAGCCATAGGCTACACCCTAGGCTGAGGGTCAGCAGTGCTGTTTCTGTGTAGGTAGTCAGGGCATTGCCAGGTGGAGTGCAGGTATTTCCCTGTGGCTGTGCATGACTTGTCCTGGGTTGTGTACTTGCTTTCATCTGTCATCTGTAGTGCGCCTCATCTATAGGCGCATGTTTTCTTTTTAGTTTTTTTTTTTTTTTTTTCCACATTAAGATTGTAAGCCCTTGGACCAGGTGCAGTGGCTCATGCCTGTAACCCAGCACTTTGGGAGGCCGAGGCAAGTGGATCAGTTCATGTCAGGAGTTTGAGACCAGTTTGGTCAATATGGTGAAACCCTATCTATACTAAAAATACAAAAATTAGCCGGGTGTGATGACACACACCTGTAGTCCCAGCTACTCTGGAGGCTGAGACAGAAGAATGGCTTGAACCCAGGAGGCAGAGGTCGCAGTGAGCTGAGATCGCTCCACTGCACTCCAGCCTGGGTGACAGAGTGAGACTCTGTCTAAACAAACAAACAAACAAGCAAAAAAGATTGTAAGCCCTCAATGGGCAGGATTTCTGTGTATTCAGCTGGCTCATGGGATTTCCAAGGAGGATTTGCTAAGGCAGTTTATGGGTATGAGCCTGCTCTGAGGCAGCCATGTACCTAGGTGGGAAGTGAGCACAGGAGCAGGGATCATGAGATCTGACACTGACCAGCTGAGGACCTTGGGAAGGTGCTTCTCTCTGGCCTTGGTCTCTTCCTCGATGCTGTAAAGATTGGATGAGATAATGTACAGATGGAGAGGAGAGCTGGATGCCTCTCATGTACCAGTTATGTTTTTTAATTCTCTACCTGTGTGCTTATTGTGGCACTGGTTTTACGTTTTGTGATTTTATTAGCACTATGTTTTATGATTTCTTAGAAAATTATGCCTTTCCCACACAGCCAAGTGCTCACTCTGTTAGTCATGACGACACTTTCTTCTGACAGATGCTCTGGGCACCATCATGGGGGGCTGGGCAGCCTTCTTGGGTCCCTGCTTCACCATCAAGGTGGTGCTGGCAGAAGGCAGAACAGCAGTAGCTGGCATGGTAGATCCCAGGAAGCCCCCTGGAGGTGTCCCTCCTTCCTTTCTCTTGCTGGGATATAATGAGAGCCCCTTCTGGGTGTATCTGACGTTTTCTAATTGGTGGACCCTGGCGGCAAAGTGTTTTGCAGCACCAGATTCTCCCCACTGTGTTTCTCCACACTGAGCCCCATTCCTTAGCCTGGCCTCCTAGGGTCTGTGGGAGAGCAGAGCCTCAACTTTGCTTTTTATAACACACAAGCAAGTGCTTCTCCTTCTGCACCTTCCTCCCTAACCCAAGAACCCAGGTGCATCCTGCTAACCTTGGCCATTGTCATGCAGGTGTTAAGCCCCACCTACAAGCAGAGAAATGAAGACTTCAGAAAGCTCTTTAAGCAGCTTCCAGACACGGAGCGCCTCATTGTTGGTGAGCTGGATGACCTGGAGGGGACCGGGAGAAAGTCTGGGGAGCCCTCGGCATAGCACTGAGGGTGCTCTGTCTAGAGGCCATGAGCCAACCCAGTAAGCAAGGGAACAGGGAGAGAGGCTATCCAGAGCCCTGGCTCCAGCTATCAGGGCTCGAGGCTGAGTACCAGGCTTGTGGCAGCCTCGAGAGCCCAACCTGGAGTGAGTCACCAACACTTTTTTCTCTGCAGATGGCCCAGTGGCAGGAGGGGTTAGCATAGTTGTGGATGGGGGAGGGACATGAGTTGAATTTGTTGGTCTTTTCCACCTCTAGCTTCGTTGGCCCACTTTGCCATCACATTTATTTATCTGCCTCTAGGCAGTTGCATGTTACGCCACCTTTATGCTCCTTATCATGAGATGCCAGGGAGCTCCTTGGCTGCTAGTTCAAGTGTTTGGTGCCCTTTGTCTGTGATGGGTGACTGGGATCCCCCAGTGCTGGTAGGAAGGTTGACAAGCCTACTTGGCAGTGGTTTGCTGAAAATGCTTCTTGGCTCTGAGCTCCCTCCCCTATCTCCGCTCCTACCACAGATTACTCATGTGCACTCCAAAGAGACATTCTCCTTCAGGGCCGACTCTACCTCTCTGAAAATTGGATCTGCTTCTACAGCAACATCTTCCGCTGGGAAACTCTGGTAAAGACCTGCGCATGCTCCCTTGGGCTGTCCCCTTGGCTACGGCTGAGCAAGCTGCCCTTGCTTTCTTCCTTTTGCTGACTTTATGCTTTTCTCAACCCTTCGCGTAATTAACAAAACAGGCCTAAGTCTTAAGGATACCCAGCTCTAAGTCCCAATAATAAGATCTCCTCTGCCATGTCTTCGCCTTCCTACCTCCCCCTTGGGTATAGAAGAGAGGACTGAGAGCATTTGCTTATGTCAGATGCAAGCACTTATTTGGCATGAGTGACTGCAGGAGGAAGCATGGTAAAGTTAGGAAGGGCTTTGGCCTTGGGTCTCTGAAGAACCGGCTTGCACAGTTTCTGGGTTCTGTGACAATTAGCAGCGTGATTTTAGGCTAGTCCTTTCTTTGCCTGTGTTTCCTCATCCCATATACTAAGGTAGAGAAAGATTAACTCGATGACTTTTGTAGTCCCATCCTGCACCAATGTTCTGTGTTTCTGTATGTGGCAAATAATGGCAGGACCTCTGCACATTTAGCAGACTGTGTAGAAATGAGAAAGCTCCTTGACCAAGAATCAAGATACTCATGGCTGTGGACAAGGCTCAGTCCCCACTCTGCTGTGTGCCCTTTGTGAAATAAAGTGGTAAACCAGATGATCACCAATGTGGTGTCTTCCAGGGTTAATAATATGTATCCCGATTGCCTCTGTCTGCACTGGTGCCTCCTGAACACCGTTTACCTGACTTTGTAATGCCCCCTCTTGCTTGTTACCCATTCTCTGTCCTCTTGGATGCCAGCTGACAGTCCGTTTGAAAGACATCTGTTCCATGACTAAAGAAAAAACAGCTCGCCTCATTCCCAATGCCATCCAAGTTTGCACTGATTCAGAAAAGGTAAGTGGAGTCTGACTCTGGCCTTTCGAATTCTCCCTTACTCCCCTGTGCCTCGCTCCTTCTACTCTTGTATTTCTGCCCTTTCTTGAATTACATGAATAAGGAGGCCAATAGGATTGGGATGAGAGGCACTGAAAGTGACGCAGACCCCAGGAGCCACCTCCTGGGTGGACAGGCCGGGGCAGGGCGAGCAGGGGGAAGCTGGAGTGGCCGAACATTGGACTTGGAGCCAGAACACCTGAATTTGAGTCCCTCAACTATAAGCGTCTTGTGTAACATCTCTGAGCCTAAGTTTTTTCACCTGCAAAATGGAGCCAGCAATATTTAACACAGTCTTGAAATAACATCATGTATTTGAAAGCACTAAATTGTAAAGCAGTATACAAATGTAAGCAGTCGTCATTATGTATCAGCATAGCTGATTATCTCTCCAGAGGATGGGGAGTCTGATAGAAAATAATGGTTCCTATTAGTATGGGGAGAATATGTCAGATAAGGACAGAGCAAACAGTGACCTTTGACTTTTCACCAGAGCCTGAAGATTCAGAGGATCAAGGCTAGGGGTCGACTAGGTTTCTGCTGAAGACTAGGTTTACAGTTCCCTTGGACTCAAGCAGTTCAGTGGCAGGAACCAGGAGACTTTGGGGTCAGATAGTATTTGGTTTGACCTATTTTGTTGTTGTTGTTTGAGACGGAGTCTTGCTCTGTAGACTAGGCTAGAGTGCGGTAGTACTATCTCAGTGCACTGCAACCTCCACCTCCCAGGTTCAAGCAATTCTTGTGCCTCAGCCTCCCAAGTAGCTGGGACTACAGGTGCCTGCCATCACGTCCAGCTGATTTTTGTATTTTTACGACGTTGGCCAGGCTGCTCTTGGATCTCCTGACCTCAGGTGATCCACCAGCCTCGGCCTCCCAAAGTGCTGGGATTATAGGCATGAGCCACTGCACCTGGCCTGGTTTGACATATATTTTGGATGCTAACCGGCTTCGTGATTATACAAGTGCCTAACCTCATCAGCCTGTTACGCTTTATTGGTTGTTAGCTTTGTTTGTTGTCTAAGGCTTGTTGTGTGGTTTAAATGAAATAGCATTTGTAGACCACCTTGTAGTTGGTCAGTAAAATCTTTATTACTTTCTTTGTATCTGTTTAATGGGTAGACTGCACAAGAGCAGGATCTCTGTCTGTGCTGTTTCTTATCCCTTACACATGTAGATTAGTGCCTTACACATACTAATATTCAAATAGTTGTTGAATGAATGAAATAGGTTGGCAGGTTTGTCTTCTCTTTCCATTTAGGCTGGTTCATAGCTCACCCCTTACCCAGTTCCAGTAGGTAGGTGAGGGGCATTTTTTTTAATCGAGTTGAGAATTTCAAAACAAGGAGAAAAGCACTAAGGAAAGTGTGGGTAAGAATAGAAGGACTTTGTCACACTGGGAGCTTAACAGTACCAGGTACCCAGGCCTCTGGTGTACTGACACCATCACTAAAGCAGAGGTGCGTGATCACGGGTATCTGAGTCATTAGTGTTTGGGGACAAAGTCAGTATTTTTTCTTAAAGTAAGGAGAACTGTGTCTCTCTTAATTATATTGTAACTCAACGACATTTATTGCCATTTTCTCATTTCTCCAATCTAGCACTTCTTCACTTCATTTGGGGCCCGGGATAGGACGTATATGATGATGTTCCGGCTCTGGCAGAATGCCCTCCTTGAAAAGGTAAGTACTGCCGAGTTTCCTTTTACTGTGGGACTGGCTGTCTCCACAGAAGCCCGTTTCTCCTCAGGGTTCCCCCACTGATAGTATTCTCCACTGATGGTAATGACCCGACTCCTGAAAGTAGCATATAAATTCTCTCACTAACGGCCTCAACACCTCCAGGAGTAAGGCACTCATTGTCTTCAGGCACTTCAATTTCACTGCTTTGAAATGTCCTGGGATTTTTTTCTAATCAGGTATGGTAATGCATGCAGTCATAAAGAAAGAAGTTCTTAAATTCACAGACCCCAGAAGTAGGAGGCACGGCAGGATGGGAGGGCCACCAGGGAAGCACCAGGGTCAGTCAGGAGACAGAATGGAAAAGGGGAGGAATGGGCAGAGCCTTTATTGTAGTTTTTGCAGGAAGGAGCTGGGGAGGCAGGGCAAGCAGGCCAAGCAGGTCTGGGATTGGCTAGTTTAAATAATTTCAGCAGGCTGCAGGGTGTAGGGACTGCCTCAAGTTGCCTGATACCTCGGAAGCTATAATAGATAATGGGGAGGGTGTGAATATGAGCCTTGGATGGGCTGGCTGCATATAAAAGGCCCACTCCTGGATGAGGTATCGCCTCTCTCTGGGAATTAGCTAACCCTGCTGGGTCCCTTCCCAGTCAGCAAGGCCCCAGATACCACAACATAAAATACAAAAAATGTAGTTAACCCAGCCATCACGAATTGACTTCTTGAGTGTTTAAATGAAGCTGTGAAGAGACACAGATGAAGGCACCTATTCATTCAGTGAGCCGTGACTGTGCCACTGCATTCTAGCCTGGGTGACAGACCAAGACCCTGTTTCAATTTAAAAAAAAAAAGTTCCCACTCAGATGCAGTTGGATGGTAAGAAACTAGCTTTCAGCCAGAGAAAGAGACGTAAGAAAGAAAAAAATAATATATACATATACACACATACACA